AAAATCTACCTATAGTAAAACCATCGAGACTAAATAGGAAAAATGTGCCCATATTGTACAACATTATTCTAGTCTCAGTGGATGTGACTGACGATGAAGGTCCCCAAAAAATTGTTACATGATCAAGTAAAAACGGCAAAACGGATTTTAATGATTGTTTATTAACCTGATATTTATCCGAGATTCCGGATTAAGATTAGCTTCCCTTCGTTGGTAACGAATAAGAGTTTATAGCTTATTTTATTAAGCTTTTACCACACCTGCATGTATTCGGATGGCTTTGGTACTAAAATGCGCAAAAATTAGCGGTCGAACTTTGAATTAAGTACGCTCCATCAGCTGCACATAGAAATTTATCGTCTTTTAGCCTGTTAAATTATTCAGTGGAGCTATCCTCTAGCTACGCAGCTCGCTAATTCATAACGACAGAAATAATTAAAATTTCGAACGCTAATTTGAGCACATTATGGTCCACTTGCAGCAAATTTGCTAAATCTCTATTCGACTAAAACAAGATTTAAACCATAGAAAAAAGTTAAAACGTCAATGTCAATTCGACTTTATTGTATGGACTTAATGTTTTTTTTTAGTTAAATTGTGATTTAGCAAAATTGCTGCATTTGGTCTTTAGTACCAAAGCCACCCGAAGCTTCGACACCCTTTAATTATAAACTAGGAATAAATTTAGACTAGTGACGCTGTGTTTTGTTCATATCACTCTAATGCATTTAATTGTTATGTTGTAATTCAATGAACAGCGCCAGGGTGAAACGGTGCTTTTACTGTCTTTAATTAGCTGGCCAGCTAATTAAAGAAAGTAAAAGCTGTGTTCTGAATTTAAAAAAATTAAGAAAAAACTGCATTCTTTTTTTCTTTGTTTTGCCGCGTATTTTCATGAAACGTCGATATTACATATAAAAACTATTTTTTAATTCAATTTAATACGTTTAAACCAAGCAATATGGGGAAAAACAAGACTTGCGATTCGTCCACTCTAGGAAGATTATTTTCAACTATCATAATAAAGATTGGTCATACAGAAAAATAGCAAACCACTTGAACTGTTCTAAGAACATGGTTATGAATGCTATAAAACATTTCAAGAAGTTCAACACGACCGAAAACGTACCAAGAAAACCTAGACCAAGAAAAACTGCTCTGCGGGAAGTCTCTAAGACGGTGTTGTTGGCAAAAAAAAATCCGTTAAGGGATCAGAACTGATACGTTCGGAGTTGTTTGGTACAGGAGGGTCGAAGGGTGTGTCTGCAAGAACAATTAGACGGAGAGAATGTGAGGCAAACTTGTACGGAAATGTCTCGGAAGGGGCCACTTTTGAAAAAGCTTAATGTTGAGGCAAGATTAGCATTTGCTAAAAAATATGTACATTGGACTGAACGAAAATGGAAACATGTGCTTTTCTCTGATAAAACAAAAATTAGTATGATTAATTCTGAAGGAAAACAATATGTTGGACGCCCCCCGAACAAAGAAATGGATCCAAAGTATACCAAGAAAGTAGTTAAACATGGGGGCGGAAATATCAAAGTTTGGGGCTGTTTCTCAGGACTTGGTGTTGGACCTGTCAGAAAATTAGAAGGCAACATGGATAAATTTCAGTACAAGAATATTTTAGAACAAGCCATGCTGCCCTAAGCCGAGCAAATTTTCCGGTCATTTGGACTTTCCAACAGGATAATGATCCGAAACACACTGTGAAAGTAATAAAAGACTTTTTAAGGAACCAGTCTGTGACAGTTTTCGATTGGCCCCCGTACAGTGCTGATTTAAACCCAATAGAAAAATTGTGGTACCAGGTGAAGAAGACAGTGGCGACAAAACAGACATCAAACATCGATCAACTTTACACAGCTTTTAGAGAAGCTTGGAAGCAAATTCCGGTGGAAGCTTGTACAAAATTGATCGCTTCCATGCCCAAGAGATGTCGTGCTGTCATTTCTGCCAGAGGACATGCGACCAAATAATAATAATACCTACCGGAAAGTTTTATAAATGTGTTAGGAATATTGTATAATAAAGATAATTTCAATAATAACAATATTTTTTCTATTTCTTCTAATCAAATCGAGTGTCTTTAATTAGCTGGTCAGCTATAAATACGTTAATAAAGTTTGTGTTACGTTCCCATAGTGAGCAGTGTCTAAACTACTAACGAACACAACTATTTTTTGTCCCTCCTTGTAAGAATACAACGTAATGTATGGTTTAATAACAATTAAACTAGATTAAATACCATATTTAGGTAATTTTAGTACCATAAGTAAGTTTTTTGTGGTCAATTAGGGAGTGTCTTTAATTATGTGACCACCACTGTAAGTACTCGTATATCCGTTACCCTAGTATCAGTCGCAACACGAAGTTCTAGCGCTGTTACGTTATTGCGCAGAAGTAAAAATTAAGATGTCTTAGGGGGAAACGAGGTGCGCGGGCGGGCGTGCGTTGCGCCGATTGGCTCTCCAGTCGTACCCATGCGCAGCAATCCCTAACGCGTTTTGTACAGCGCTAGAGTTACGTGCCGCGACCTGTATCAAGCCTACAGTGCTTACTTTGGGGCTAGGCTAATTGCTGTGCTTGTTGGAAATACTATTTAAAATCAAATAGATGGTATATTACAAGCCAGGTTATCGCTGTATGTATATAGGCATCCATGTACTCAGGTACTCACATATTAATATCAAACTGTGACCATACTTCATTATCTATATTTGTATTTGTTAAAAGTCAACGTACTGTGACTAACAACAATAAAATAATCTTAAAAAGGAACAGCGACATCATTCCAGCAGGTGGGCGGCTACTGTTAGAGAAAACGCAGATTTTACTAAATACGTGTTGTAAGCCGACCGAACATAAGAAACAGTTAAGTAATTAGGTAGCTACTACTATACATAATTATTTTTTTTGGAACATCGAAAAATATAACCGTACCAGTGAGAATCATTGATCAGCAATCTGGAGATGTTTATTATAATGTCATGTTTCAGAAGCCAATGAAGTCTTTTTACAAGAAAAACAGTAGCAGTTACATAAAGTAACTAAGTACTAATAAATAGTACTAAGATCCTACCGGTAAATACTCCTTACTATAAGTATATTTAACCTACTTATCATACCGACTACAAAATAATGGTGTCGGTTCTGACATGATTCTCTGAACCCAGGGCCCGATCTAGAAATTTTGCCGCTCCTGGCAAAGATTTTTGCCGCCTTTCAGTGACGTATATTTACGGCTGACCCAGGCGCGGTCGCAGCCTGAACTTTTGGAGGGGGTCACTACACTAATAAAAAAAAAAGTATCTGGAATAAAATAAACATTATTGCACAAGATACAATTTTATTTTATACATTACTTATAAAATATTGTTGTACAATCTTTATCATAACGACGCATATCGATTTTGCTGGGATAACCAAAAGTACGTAGTTCGGTTCCTTGTTTCTAAAGTAGTACTAGATGTCATTTCAAAGTTATTTTGGCCATCGTACGTAGTTCATAAAAACACCACTACATGTCAACAATCTATAAATTTATCGCTGTTAGGGGCGGGGGGTACGTAGAAATTTCCTTTTATTTGCCAAATTTGTGAGAAATTTCAATTTGACCTAAGATTTGGGGACATGACACCCCCCCCCCCCCCCCCCCCCCTTCGGAACGCACCTGGGCTGATCCTAATTAAATTTTGCCGCCCCTAATTTTTGCCGCTCTGGGCAAATGCCCGGCTCGCCCCCCATTGGATCGGGCGCTGTCTAAACCTAAACTTAAATTTGACAACAGTGTATCCTTCACGCTCTATACAGAATGAAAAGGAGAGACTGATGTTAAATTTAATTTTAACTTTAGATAATCATGCCAGAATCGAGCCCATTGTATAACTGTAGTTATAGATAGGTACTCAAATTGTAGCACTATCTCAATAAGGACCGTATTCGGTCCTTATTGAGATAGTGCTACAATTTTTAAATTTACTAGCGGAAACTTATTAGTTTCCGCTAGTAAATTTAAAAAGGGAAATATTTTAAATGATCCTCTATAATACAATAAGTAACATAAAGGATAGGTTTTGATGATCATTTAAATATGTTTGTTTCTTAGGTTTTCACGCACATCACCCATTAAATAAAACTAGTTTTAACGGGTTAATGCACGAAACTTTATTTATTTATTGACGTTTCGCAGCCTTTTCAGGTCTGTTTCGTCAGAATAATGTTTTTTTTAAATCACTATTCTGACGAAGCAGACCTGAAAAGGCTGCGAAACGTCAATAAATAAATAAAGTTTCGTGCATTAACCCGTTAAAACTAGTTTTATTTAAATATGTGCCAGAAAAGGACAAAAAGTTATTGCTGTTTAGGGGGGAGCTCTTAAATTCGGTAAACTCTAACTCCTTTATTAATAAACGAGGTTCCTTTGACGTAAATGCCATTTGCCATTCAATGAACAGAGACAAAACATGGAGTAACTAATTCAAGCTTATTCATTGTTTATTAGTAAGGGGTAAAGGTAAACTTTATTTTGAGAATTTTATTTTTAATTAATTTTATGCGTATTTTCTGTTAGGTATAGGCACGTACTCGTATTACAGGCTTGTTCGCATAATATGAGAGTCCAAAAAGTGGAAGGAACTGTTGTCATTTCTTAAATTTTAACTCACAGACCAGCTTATTTTTTTAAGCATTTAACTGCTAGATGTTTAAATCTTCATAAAATTTAACTAGAAAAAAATCCACGCGGCCTAGACAGCAGTCGGGACTGGAACCCGCAACCGCCCTTATAGCGAAGGGAACATTTTCTTTAGCTTCAGTTTTGTTTATAAAATATCTATATTGTAACATACTTAAATACATTAACTAGTATCTGTCTATTCTATGGAGAAATATTAATTTTCATATGTGTTTTATAACTAAATAATTTAGTAATAATTTGAGACGAATAAAAATATAGTCAGGTAAGTAGGGACCTGAGTTTCTTACGCGATAGCAAAATGACTAGGTACGTTACTCTGTAAGTTTTTATTGCGTCTTTCATCAAACAATAGTGCTCAAGTACGTATAGTATAGCTTATTAATGTAAGTATAGATAGACGTCCAAGAACTAACGTGACAATTTTTTTAATTAAAGACGTGAAAATCGCCAGGTGCGAGTAGGAGGGATTTCAGTGGCCCCCATTTGACCGTCGATTGCCGTATTTGGTACTGCTCGAGTCTAAATATGGCTCTGGCACTGCCCACCGCCCCGCCGCACGCGCGCACGCTCTACTTCCGACTCTATTATTTCTATTTACGAAATAAACTCAAAATAAAAGCTCTATTTTAATACAGATTTCGGGCACTGAAACGTTTCGCGGGTTCCCGGTTCACGTTCGCTTTTCCAACGGATGTGTCGGGTTACGGCAGCCTAGATATCCCCGTCCCGCTCGCGAACGCACTCACTCGCCCGCGTGTGAGCGAGACGGTTAGAGGTGGAGACGCGCGGGACGGAACCGCGCGAAGTCAGTTGCGGTCCGAGCGGCCGAGTCGTCAGTCCCGCCCTCGGTCCTTTCGCGTTTTCGGTCAGTCTCCGTTCGACGTTCGGACGGTGAGGTGTGTTAAGCGCAGGTGCGCACCGGTTACTGTGGCGTACTGCGAGGTTATAATGGACGCGCCCGGCGGAGCGCGGGAGCCCCGCTTCGGGTCGCCGTACGGTATGGGACTCCTTGGGGAGATGCCGGATATGTATGGCGCAGGCCGACCACCAAGTTCTCTCGGCGGCGGAGCCCCGAGACCGGGCATGCAGCCCTGTCCGATGCCACGGCTCGGCGTGAAGAGGACTTCGGACCAGTGCTATGATGAGCGACCATCCCAGAGCGTCGGCTTGGAGCATTGCGCCATGCCGGACATAGCAGATGATGGATATGCTTCCCTGCAGCCTAAGAAGTCTCCACCATCTAACGGCAAAAAGACCAAGGGTCGTGTGAAGATTAAAATGGAATACATTGATAATAAACTACGCCGATACACGACATTCTCCAAGCGGAAGACTGGGATAATGAAGAAGGTGGGTTGCGGAGACCGCTTTTGGCAATATTCCATGTGGGCTAGCCTGGGAATGCTGGCTGTGATTGCCTTTCAAAAAGTGTGAAAGTGTATGTTTCTAGTATTCTTTGCAGTGAGACGGGATCAGTGACTTATTCAAAATTAAGTTACTCGGGCACAAGTGAAGTTTAAGTCATGCGATTACCCATGCCAAGTAAATTCTTACAATAAATATTATCAAATACATTATTAGATAGTATTCAACTTTATGAATTCATTGCACAATTGTTTTTATTGTGAAGATTATTTATTAGGATGCCTTAAGGCAGTTTAACATTTCTTCCCGCTTGTGTTTGATTGAGAAATAATATTATGAATTGGTCCATAAGGTCTTGTATGATTGCAAGTCCACCCATTTATAAATGGAACCTTATGTAAACTTATTAGACAAATATTATGATGACAAAACAGGTAATTTAACAATTTTGGGCAGAAGAGATAACATGTAGCAAAATATGTAACATGTAAACAAAGTCAATTAATACAAAGTTACTAGTGTTTTGTATAGATATTGTGGTTAAAATCTTTCCAAACTATAATGGCAATGGTGTAATGTCGTTTTTGTCATGAAAATATGAATGAATACAAAGTAAAAAAAGGATTTTTAATATTTTGGTGTAGAGGTTATGTTTCATTGAAAGAAGAGAACATGGAATATTGCTTGAAACGAGTCGTAAAATGCAATTTTTATTACTATTATACTATTTTATTTATTCGAGAAACGTAAACAGTGTGATTTAAGTTGAATTTCTTAGTATTTGTGAGCATTTGTGAAGAAAATTTTGACAGATGTCAGCTGATCTTTGGTAAGATTTTTATAGTACTTAATTAAACAGTATTAAGTAGGTGTTTAGTTATCGATTTATACATTTTAATGCATTTAAATATCTGAGTGTTATAATAAGTTCAATTGTAAAGTGAAATCTTCATATTTTGCCAAGAAACTAACCCTATGCGCAAATGTCATAATTTAGTTCCATACGCATACGATAGATGGCGCTACTTGTCTTTCAGAGTGAATTAAGGTATAGTCGTGATAGTTAATATTTTGCCAATTTTTCTGCCTATCTCACTTTATTTGTCGTTAATCTAACTTTAATATTATATCACACTAAATAAATTTAAAGAAAATGATGAAGCAAAGTTTTTAAAAGTTATTTTTTTTGTCATATTTTATCATCAACTATTTATTTCAATATTTGATTTGAATTGATTCATTATTTAACTATTAAGTTCTAGTTACCTGGAAAGTGATGTTTTAATTTTGACTTTAAAGTATAAAAACCATCAATACTAGATTGAATTGCATATTGTTGAACATGACAAATTAAATGAGTTCTTCTTCTCTATCAACATCAAATAATGTTTAAAAAAACTATAAGTTGACTGTAACAGACGCTTTTTTTTTTGCGATATATATAAAATACTAGCTGTGCCCCGCGGTGTTACCCGCGGTTTATTAGGGATATTTTCCCTCAGTAAAACGTAGCCTATGTGTTAATCTAGGGCGTCAGCTAACTCCATACCAAATTTTATTAAAATCGCTCTTGCCTCACAAACTTTCGCCTTTATAATATTAGTGTGATAACGACACGACACGTTGGCCAGAATTAAATTTAATTGACGTCTGTAAGTGCGAAATCAATTCTTATAAAACTGACATCGATATTTATAAGCGTTACTTATATTATTTATTCATTATCAACCTATTAATGTCCCCAATGCAGGGGCATAGGCCTTCCCTATGGATGGATTAGGGAGACTAGCCCGTGACCCACACGTGGCCCAGTGAATATTAGTGAATGCTAATCACTGCCGGGACCAACGGCTTTACGTGTCTTTCGAAGCACGGAGGAGTTCGAGATAATAAGTTTTTGGTCACCCTTCTAATGACAAACTTTTGCGAAAGTTGCTTAACTTTTACGATCGCAGGTCAAATACGCTAAACTGCGCGATCGAGCTCCTCGTATTATTAAATTAATATTATTAATTTGGTGGAGAGGTAGTAACTAAATACTCCAAAAAACTTTCTATTTTTTATGGGATAAAACCTTTTTGAACAATGCATGCATAGCATAAGTAATTTTATATTATATTTTTATGTTTAAGTGTAGTAAATGATATCGATCATTTATATTTCTTATCAGTTTAGACTAGCTCAAGCTTAACGAGCATTTAGTACCTGGTTACTCGGTTCAAAACTGTTGTTCGGATTTTCGGAAACATAAATTAAACTTAAATTAAATAACTTTAATTTATCAGCTCATCTCGTACAATTATTTCGGAAACTTTACAGTAGGTATCTTGATTTAAATAGACTCTCTATTTTGTGGTTTTGTAGTACAACAAATTAAGACGAGTTTTCGCACGTTATTTAGGAAAAGTTTGTATGAAAGGAGACCTTAGTTTTTTGATCAACTTTGTACCTAGGTACAATTTTTCTCAAAAGACATCTTAAATTAAACTTAAAAATACTCACTCATCAAAATCTCATACAAATTCATTAAAATTTGATGAAAATGTGCATTAAAAATTTTTTTAAACAAAAATAAAATCGAAAATGGAACTAAAAAGTAAAAAATAATATATATGTATTTTTTTTATGTCATCCATTTTAGTGAAAATTACATACATCGTCCAAGTAAACAATAACACAATTGACGGAGAAATTGGTGTACATGCATAAAAAAAAATTGTGCGTGCCTTTGAAATTTGTAGGTTTCCCCCGATATCCCCAGATTCCACCATCAGATCCTGACTTGGTTCCAATTTATATATTGTTTTAACGACATTTTATGTGTTTTATGTTATGAACTCCATTTATATTTGAATAGTGGCTCGCTCTCGCTTCGCTTCGGTGTAGATTTGCAAAGTTAACTATAGTTTTTGTTCTCAGGCTTGTATTATACACAGTGACTTTCTTCATATTATAATTACCTGTAAACCATGCGTGAAAATTTCTTTTACTGATAGTAAAAATTTTGTATAGAATGCACCATTGCTCTGCTCTTAAAAACAGCGTACGCGATATTAGGTTATTTTTTGGTATTTTTTTTCATACATTGGGTTACACTATCGAAGTTTTCATACGGAACTCTGTTTTGAAAATACTCTATAGCCTATGTTCATCGGGGATCACGTAGGATTCTAAAAATGAATGAATTTATTATATCGATCCATTAGTTTCGGAGCCTATTCAATACAAACAATAAAATCTTTCCTCTTTATAATATTAGTATAGATAGATGAATTTGGCGTGTTTTTCTACACATGAATGCATGGTAATACTTGAGGTATAAAATTGGGCAAAGTTGTATAGAGAAAAGAATAGAACCTTTTTTATTAAACTCTTGTTGAACGTATATCTAACTTTTTGGACGTAATAAGATATTTCCTATATTTGTGCAATAAAGTCAACCAATATTCGCCCGGATAGCGTAGGGTGCGGGTTCGAGTACCGACTGCTGCCTGGTCCGCGTGGAATTTTTCCTGTAAACTTTACTTTAGACTTATAGACAACCAATTTAAGCACCTCACATGGCAATTAGATTAAAATACGCGCGTTTCGTATTTCCTTATAAACATACTGACAAAAGCTTTCTCAACGAGAGATAAGTAGAAGACATCACAATTTACATAAATATATTTCAATTTCAAAAGCTTATAGTAGTTTTTATGTCTACTTAACCTTATTCTGATTTTAATAATATTACAAATGTTTCTCTGTTTGTTTAAGTTGGTTTATTTCTTAGTCACATAAAAACGGTTGAACGAAAAGGTATTGTTGAAAATCTAGCAAATGCTTTTTTATCGCGGATATTTCCGGGGTTCAAACTGCGAAAAGTAATTTGCTATGTTATTATCAAATAATTTATGTAGATTGTTTGAAACCCCTCCGAAGCCGAAGCGCCGAAGCGGCCCTGGCGTCGCTGTGGGCTGTGGCACTATGCTGAGGCAGTCTAGTAGTTAGCATTTTTTTAGAAAGTATTGTGTAATCTTGTTATTGAAGACTAATAAAATTCTTTCTGTTTTTCATCCGCAATACTATACAACATGAGCCCGCCTAACATGACCACCAAAACACGACATCAATGACAAACTACAATAGAGTTTGACACTAGAGTGTTAATCAAAAGCTTTATGATATCGTAATGTGGTGTTCATGCTACGGGGTCAGTATTTTTTGAATTCTAAACTTCAAAGTCGCAAAGCAAAGAAAGTCTAGTTTGAACCAAAAATAAACACACGCGAAGAGCTTCCTATTTCCATACGGGCATACCAACGGTAGCTTCATTAACCGGGTAGACATTGTCAATCGTGTACGTGTAGCCGTCTAAGCCGGCCGCTGCGGCCCGTGCAGGGATGTCCGTCAAAGAAATCCACCATTAAAACCCCGGCTGAATGATAAGTGGCTAACGAAGGGGACGGTTTACGCAAAGCGATCCGTGAACCCAGTGAATGCGACCATTCGACGGGTTCACGGATCCCAGAAGAAGTGTTATCATCAACATAAGTATTCTGCGTCTACCCTGCAGAATGGCGATACGAATAGTTTTATTATTTTTACTTACTAATACAAAAACCTACGCACAATAAAACAATAGAAAAGGCATAAAATAAAAAGCATAGTCGTGGCTGCTACTCGTGTGTCAGTAAATGATTTCATCTAAGCTCCTTGATATTTTTTTCAGACACGTAAATCTAAGCAACGCCTAGCATAATCTATTTTTCACCTTAAGAATTAAGTATTTCCCGTTTTACAATACAGTTTTATATTTTAATAATGCTATTTTTTCGGGGCGGGAGTTCCAGTAAACTTTGCAACTACTCCACTCGCAATCAACATCAGTTGGGCTAAAAGTCATCTCTCTGCCAGTATTCTATAAAAAATCCCAACTTAGCTATTAAACTGATGGACTCCTCGGATTCCCACGAACCTCTCTCCTAATTAAGTGGTCGGCA